ACCAAAGGCAGTTTCCACTTTCAATATAATCCCAGTACTAATACCAGTCCCATTCTTCAAGGAGATGGAAAAGGCAATCTCCATTTTCATTTGAAATAGAAGACCCTAATAAGCAAAGTACTTCTTAAAAATAGAAACAAGGTAGGAGGTATCTCACTCCCTGATTTCAAATCCTACTACACTCTCATGGTGGTCAACACAGCGTGGTACTGGTACAGTGGCAGACACGTGGATCAGTGGAATAGAATTGACAACCCAGAAATCAGCCCATCTATCATGGTCAACTTAAGTTTAACAAGGAAATGAAATAAATTAAGTAGGGAAACGACAGAATTTCTAGTTGTTGTTGTTGTTGTTGTTGTTATGTGCCATCAAGTCGTTTGCGACTCATAGCGACCCTATGTACAACAGCCCTAAACTCTGCTCTGTCCTGTGCCAATCGCACTGTCTCTAACACTCCCATCTCCCGATTATTCCAGTCACTGAATCAATCCACCTCATAGAGGGCCTTCCCCTCCTGGACTGTCCCTCCACCCTCCCAAGCATGATGTCCTTTTCCAAGGACCGGTCTCTCCTCACAACCTGTCCAAAGTATGTTAGATGGAGCCTTAGAATCCTTGCCTCCAAGGAGGCACCCGGTTTAACCCTTTCCAGGACAAATCTGTTTGTTTTCCCAACAGTCCATGGTATTCTCAATACTATTCTCCAGCACCACAGCTCAAAGGCATCAATTCTCCTTTCCTCCTTGGTCATTGTCCAACTCTCTGATGCATAACAAGTGATTGCGAAGACCATGGCCTGTATCAGATGCACCTTAGTCTCCAGAGAGACACCATTGCTCTTCAGTACTTTGGAGAGGTCCCTAACAGCAGTCTTTCCCATGGCAATGCGCCTTTTAATTTCCTGGGTGCTGGTGCCAAGACTGTTGACTATGGAGCCAAGCAAACTAAAGCTGTGTACATTGTCAATCTCTTCACCATTCATCCTGATGCTGCCAATTGGTCCAGTGGTGAGAATCTTTTTCTTCTTGACGTTGAGCCTCAATCCATATTGTAGGCTGCAGTCCTTGACCCTCTGCAGCAGGTGCTTCAGGTCCTCTTCATTTTCAGCAAGCAGGGTTTGTCATCTGAATAACGCAGATTGTTGATAAATTGTCCACCAATCTTGACCCCACATTTCTCCTCATAGAGCCCGGCCTCCCGGATAATCTGTTCTGCATATAGGTTGAAAAGGTACAGAGATAGAATGTATTTGAGTATAGTTTTTCATAATACTCTGTTAGCCTTTTTATTTTAGTTGGTTTTGTTGTGACGTTGCCCATTTCATCTTTTATTTGGATTGTGTCTTTTCCTTTGTTAGTTTTGCTAATGGTTTGTCGATTTTATTGACCTTTTCAAAGATCCAACTTCTAGTTTTGTTGATTTCAATAGTTTCTTTGTTTTCTATTTCATTTATTTCTGCTCTAGTTATGATCATTTCAGATTTTTTAAAGGATGTTGTGTTTTCTTGCTGTTCTTTTTCAATTTTTTGGAGATTTTAGCTTAGAGAGTCAGTGGTCAGATTTTCCTGCCTTTTGATGTATTTACTTATTGCTGTAAATTGACCTCTGATGACTGCTTTGGCTGTTTGACAGAAGTTTTGGTAAGTGGTGTTTTCATTGTCATTTGTTTCAACAAACTTTTTAATTTATCTTTTATTTCTTTTAGTATCCACTCATGTTCAAGCAAGGTATCGTTAAACTTTCAAATGTATGTTTGGTTTTTTTCTTCTTTACCCTCTTTTTATTACTTTCTAATTTTGTAGTGTTGTGGTTTAAGAAGATGCTTTGTATTGTTTCTATGTTTTTAAGTTTATTGATGCTTACCCTGACCTAAAATGTGATCTATTCTGGAAAACGGTCCATGCACATTGGATAAGAAAGCATACCGTGCTTTTGGGGGGTGCATTACCCTATAAATATCTATGAGATTGAGTTGGTTTATTGTGTGGTATAATTCTTAAGCATCTTTATTGAGTTTCCTTATGTTGTATATATTTCACAAGTCTTTCATTTAGTGCATAGATACTTATTATTGTTATGTCCTCTTGGTCTTTTGACCCTTTAAGCATTATGTAGTGACCTTCCTTGTCTGTTGTGATGGTTTTTGCATTGAAACTTGTTTTATCAGAGATTAATATTGCTACTCCCGCTTTTTTCTGGTTGCCATTTTCTTGGTATATTTTTCCCCCACCCTTCTGTTTTTTAGTGTTTCCTTATCTTCATTTTTCGTGTGTGTCTCTTGCAGGCAGTGTGTTGATAGATTTTGGTTTTTTATTCAGTGTGCTACTCTTTTTCTCTTCAGTGCACTTAAACCATTCACATTCAGTGTGATTATTGAGAGAAAAGGTTTTATTGGTATCATTTTGTTGAGTTCTTTTTGGTGGTGTTGCTAGTTACTTTGGTCCATCCTGCTTTCTTTGGCATCTTTGTAGGAAGGATATCTCTCAGAGTTTCCTGCAACACTTGTTTTTATAAGCTCCCTTTGGTTCTGTTTTTCTGGGAATATCTTGATCTCTCCTTCATATTTGATGGACAGTTTCACTGGGTTCAGTATTCCTTATTGACTGTTGTGTTCTTTGAATGTTTGATGTATGTCATTCCACTGTCTTCTTTCCTGCATGGTTTCTCCTGAGAAATCAACAGTTAATCTTATCTGCTCTCCCTTAGTTAGAGATTACTCTTTGTTTCTCCCTCATTGCCTTCAGAATTATCACCTTATCTTTAGTTCTGGCAAATTTGATTATGACAGACTTTGTTTTTCTTTTGGGGTCTGTTCTCTATGGTGTTCGCTTAGCTTCTTTCAGACATACTCTCTCATTCTTCGTTATGCCTCAAAAATTTTCTTATAGGAATTTTCCCACAACTTTTTCTGTACCTTTACTTCTTTTTTTTCCTGGAATTCGGATGATGCACACGTTATTTCTCTAGATGGCATCCCACATTATTCTTAGGTTTTTTTTTCCTGTTTCCTTTTTTGACTCTACTTTTTGCTCTAGCAGATCCATCATGACAGTTCTATCTTCTATTTCACTGTTTCTGTGTTCCATCTCTTCAACTCTGTTCATGTATCCCTCTGTCATGAGGAGAGCATCTTAAACATTGGACCTCATATTCTGGATCCTGGTTGCTTGTTTTTCTAGTGCCACTAATACCTCATTTGTTTTATCTGCATTGTTCTGGATTGTTTTTGTTTCGTTTTTGGTTTTGGGGTTGGTTTTTTTTTTTTACACTTCTCCTGGTTTTTGCTTGCATTGTCCTTTAAATCTTCAAGTTTGTTTTTCACCCATTGAAAATATTCAATCATTATTCTTTTAAATTCCGTGTCACAAAGTTCAATCAGACTTTCTGGCTTCAGGAAATTCATTGGTACTGTGTCACCTTTTAGAGTGACATCTTGCTTTGCACTTGTGTAGAGTGTGAGGTAGCGTGCTTCTTCCATGACATTGCTGTTGTAAAATTTTTCATGCCTGAGGTGATGGTAGGTTCATGATCTGAAGTCACTGCTCTAGAAAAAGGTGGGACAGCTACCCTGGCCCTGTTTCTCTCTTGAACTTCTGACCCAAGGGAAGGTTCAGTTCAGGGCCTGTGAGGGCAGCCTCTTGTAGCTAAGCCAGACCAAGACACTCCAGAATAAAGGCAAGTTAGTTGACTGGATGTGGCGGTAGGAGTGTGGGGTGGAACGGGTCTTGAGTGGTTACAGACATGGTCTGGCCCTCATCCAGTAGCTCTCACCTGACAGCTCTCACTCATTGGCTCTCATCCAGTGGAGCTCTGAGTCCAACAGGGCTTAAGAAAACTCAGTCAAATTCCAACTGTCCTGCTTGCTCCTGGCAGGTGGATCCCACATCGGTTCAGCTGGCTACTCCCGCCAGCAATCACTACTCCTGTGGCTCCCCAACTAATTGTTTTAATAACAGTTCTCACTCAAATTCCTACTGTCTTGCTCACTCCCTGTGCATTGCTCCCTGTGTGTTACTCCCATCCTGTGCTCTCGAGACATGCAGATAAAAGACATAATTCTTGTCTTTAAGGATCCAGAAATGCAGGCTTCACCTTCCTGATGGGAAAGAAGAGTCCTCTTTGAAGCTATTTCTTCCCTCTCTTACTGCCTAGAGTGGCTAACAGGAGGCAATGTTTTTACTCTCTCGTTCTCATCACGATTCCATTGTTTTCAGAGTGGGTAATTGATCCAAGCAGGGTTTGTTGTGGTCTCTTGGGTGTCTAGTTGATGTGGCTGCAGGGATCTTCTAGAATGGGGGAGGGGGCGGTTTGGGCCAGGGTAAGCGGGCACTGGATGGCTCACCACTCTGTTCAGAACTTTTTAGATGTGTTTTTTATGTTATTCTTGGAAACCATTCAATAATTGACAGATTATTCTATTCAGGATCCTCTTCTAGGACAACTGTTAAATCTCAAGTGCTAACCAGAAGGTTGGCAGTTTGAAAATACCAGCAGTGCCATAAAACATAAGTGTAGTGAACAACTGCTGTAAAGATTACAGACTAGAAAATCCTAGGAGACTGTTCTATTCTGTCACATGGGTTTGCTGTGTTGCCAAAATAGAAAGATACCTAACAGCCACAGTTACTATTATGCTCAGTATTTCATTTGTGCAAACCTGTACAAAGAGAAGGAATTCTTACGTCTAGCCATACTAGAAGGACCTTTAGTGATATAATCTATAGGGTGCTGTGCTCCTAACCCAAAGGTGGTACCTCTCTCAGGGTTCAAATCCACCAGCTGTTCCTTTGGAAGACCGGGGGCATTTTCCTCCTGTGCTGTTTACGGCCACCAAACTTCATGAATGACAATGAGTAGAACCACACAGTGATTGTTTTGGATCAGCAATAAGTAAGATTATATAATTTTGTAGCGTTAATTTTTCTGTATTAAGGAATATGAAATAATGAATAATTATTACTGCCTTAAACAGCGGCATTTTATTGTAATTGTTTATTAGGCTCCTGGATTTGGATTTGGAATTGCAATATCTGGTGGAAGGGATAATCCTCATTTTCAGAGCGGGGAGACCTCAATAGTAATATCAGATGTGCTAAAAGGTGGACCAGCTGAAGGCCAGCTCCAGTAAGTTTGCTGCTTTTCTTAGGAGTCTGTTACAGTATTGTTCATGTCCTGCCCCTGGCACACTACGCCAGTGGTCTTTAACTATGTCACCTTTGCCATGTCTTGTGAAATAGCCTTCCTGAAATTAGCTGTGTTTATGTTTATTTAAGGAGTACACGTGTACACATTATTATAAGTGGGAAGCTAGTTTCAATACTCATAAATGCTGAATAACCGTAAAAGTAAATTACATGAAAAATTCTCAGTTTTAGTGAAAAATTAGTTTTCAAGAATCTTACACCATCAATCAAGTCATTTTTGTTCAGTAAGGAGATTAACAAAATATAAGTGAGAGAATAATTTATTTCACAGTAACTGGGGCAATGGGGGTAGATGTGCCAGAGTGAGTAAGACTGTGTCAGGACAGGGGGCTTCAGAGCTGTTGTACATAGGGTCGCTATGAGTTGCCGGGACTCAACAGTACATAACAACAGCATATTTGCCTTCTTTCCTACTTTTAAACTTAATATTGTACTTACCCTAATTTCAATTATGTGATATCTATTTAGTTTTTGTGAGAATCATTGTGTTAATAGTTAAAATAGTAAAATAGTAGCTACTTCAGTAGAAATATCTTCATAAACTTACTTGTACATTTTCCTTTAACATGTTGTCCTCTCTCTCCAGGGAAAATGACCGAGTTGCAATGGTTAATGGAGTTTCAATGGATAATGTTGAACATGCTTTTGCTGTTCAACAACTAAGGAAAAGTGGGAAAAATGCAAAAATTGTAAGTGTCATTTATTTTTAATTTGGTAATTAAAAGATACTAACTTTATTATTTGATACGTTTCTATGTACAGATTTATCGGAGCTCTGGTGATGTGTAGTGGTAAGGAATTGGGTTACCATGTAAAGGCTTGTGGTTCAAATCCACCACCTTCTCCATGGGAGAAAGATAAGCAGTTAACTCCTGTACAGTTAACTGCCTCTGAAAACCCATTGGAGCATCAGCTTGAATTAGTTCTAACTCAGTGGTGCATAACAGCTTTGTTATTTGATACATTTTGGGTATGTTGTTGTTGTTATGTGCCGTTGAGTCATTTGCAACTCATAGCGACCCTATGTACAACAGCCCTAAACCGTGCTCTATCCTGTGCCAGTCTCATTGCCTCCGACACACCCATCCTGATTACCCCCGTCACTGAATCAATCCACCTCATATAGGGTCTTCCCCTCCTGCGCTGTCCCTCTACTCTACACAGCATGATGGCCCTCTCTAAAGACCTGTCTCTCCTTACAACATGTCCAAAGTATGTCAGGTGAAGCCCCAGAATCCTTGCCTCCAAGGAGCAGCCTGGTTTAACCCTCTCTGGGATGAATCTGTTTGTTTTCTTGGCAGTCCATGGTACATTCAGTACTCTTCTCCAGCACCACAGCTCAAAGGCATCAATTCTCCTATCCTCCCTAGTCATTGTCCAACTCTCTGATGCATAACAAGTCATTGCAAAAACCATGGCCTGTATCAGGCAGACCCCCCACCCCCAACCCTATGGGGCTAGATAGAGAAGAGAATCCAGAGCTCAAGTGGAAAGAATTGGCTCATGGAGGAAGAAGATCAATCTGTTCTTTCAGAACAAAGGAAGGACTAAATATTGAAAAAATTTAAATGTAAGGGGAATTGTTTTTGGAATGTATCTACATTAGCACATTCTATAGAGAAGCATTAAGTGGATGAAAAGATTAATGAATGAACAAAAATAAGAATTGTGTTAAGTAAATTTAAAGATGATCTAATAAGCAAAGTGAAATCACTGAGTTAATTTAACCTACTACTTACTGAAAGGTTGTGGGTTCAAATCTATCCAACATTGCTTCGGCAGATAACTTCGATATCTACTTCTGAAATTAGCCCCTGAAAACTCCATACAGCACAGTCCTGCCTTACACACTTGGGTCACCATAAGTTAGAATTGACTCAACAGTAACTAGTTTATTGAATTGAAAAAGTGGAAATGATTTGATCTGAACTTGAAAACACTAGAGTTCATTGTGGCAAATGATCAAGGAGTAGAAATTCTGTTGCTGGGTGTGGTCAAGCCAATGACAATTCCTAGCAACCCTGTGTATAATCATCACATCAGAATGTTGCCTTCCTGCTATCATGATCTCCCACCACCCGAATCCATTGTTGTAGTCACTGTCAGTTTGTTTTGCTGAGTGTCTGCCTTTCCCAGTATGATGTCTTTTTCCAAAGGCACCTCCTGATTAGAAAGTCATTTTAAAAATTGGAACGTGACATCTGAATGCAGATTTTAGAGGAAGATAAAACCAGGAAGGAATTGATAGTATGACACAATGTTAAAAGGACTAAGAAATAAGGTAGACAGGAAAGTGTCTCAAGAGATTAAGACATCAGAAGACCTAGGCGAAAAGTGTTACCAAGGAGACTTTACAGAGATCTCATAACAGTAGTAAGATCAGTTGTATAGCACTATCAGAAAATGAAATGCACTCAAAGAGCCAAGAGCCTACTCAATTAGAAGGGTAAAGATCATGAATTTACAGAACATGAAGGAAATAAGTAGGCAGGAAAAACTGACCCTTTGCCAGAATCACTGAAGAAAGAATATACATCTAGACCAGAAGTTAAAAATGTCAAAGATAGACTGAAAACCTTTTGTTTCAGTCAAGTGTGATGGAGTTAAATAGTGTCAACTGAGTTGAATGTTAATAGGATGCTAACAACAGGTTTCTAATACCTGGCAGAGCAGTTAGGAGGCTTGATGGTGATGGATTCTGAAATCTCTTAAGGAACTAAGTTGGACTTGCAAGGTTGCTGTGGTTTTAGTAGCATCTACAGCGTTTTGGATGTCATTATTCAAATAATCAACAGTTATTTGTTTCTACCTTGTAAATATTACTGAGCTCTATGAGGAGAAGTGTGGCGTCAGGATTGGTGGAAGATCTATCAACAATCTGTGTTATGCAGATGACACAACCCTGCTTGCTGAAACTGAGGAGAACCTCATGCACTTGCTGCAGAGGGTCAGGGACTGCAGCCTTCAGTATGGATTGAAGCTCAATATTAAGAAGACCAAGATTCTCACCACTGGACCAATTGGCAGCATCAGGATGGATGGTGAAGAGATTGAGTTTGAACAAACTCAACAGCTTTAGTCTGCGTGGTGCCACGGTCAACACTCTTGGCCCCAGTAGCCAGGAAATCAAAAGACGTTTTGCGATCGGAAAGTCTGCTATTAGGGACCTCTCCAAAGTACTGAAGAGCAGTGATGTCTCTCTGGAGACTAAGGTGCGTCTGATATAGGCTGTGGTCTTTGCAATCACTTGTTATGCATCAGGGTTGGGCAATGACTAGGAAGGATAGAAAGAGAATTGATGCCTTTGAGTTGTGGTGCTGGAGAAGAGTATTGAATGTAACATGAACTGACAAGAAAACAAACAGATTCATCCTGGAGAGGGTTAAAACACACTGCTCCTTAAAGGCAAGGATTCTAGGGCTTCATCTGACATACTTTGGACTTGTTGTAAGGAGTGACAGGTCCTTGGAGAGGGACATCATGCATGGGAGGGTGGAGGGACGGTGCAAGAGGGGAAGACCCTCTATGAGGTGGATTGATTCAGTGACTGGGGTAATCGGGATGGGTGTGTCAGGCAGAGTGACTTGCATAGGATAGAGCAGGGTTTAGGGCTGTTGTACATAGGGTCAGTATGAGTCGCAAGTGATGGTACATAAAAACAACACCAAACATCTTTCTGATAATGTGACATTATTAGACCAGTTATTTATAGCTAATGTCTGTCTTTGTTTCATTGAGTACACAAAGGCATTTGACTGTGTACCATAACAAACTGTGGCTGACTCAGAAAACCTATACTTGGACCAGGAGGCAGTTATCAGAACAGAGCAGGGAAACACTGCATGATTCAGAATTGGGAAGGGTGTATGCCAGGGCTGTATCCTGTCTCCATACCTTTTCAATATTTATGCAGAACAGGTTATCCGGGAGGCTGAGCACTATGAGGAGAAATGTGCCATCAGGATTGGAGAAGAACCTTCAACAATCTGCATTATGCAGATGACACAGCCCTGCCTGCTGAAACTGAGGAGGACTTGAAGCACTTGCCGTGGAAAGTCAGGGACTGCAGTCTTCAGTATGGATTGAGACTCAGTATCAAGAAAACAAAGATTCTCACCCCTGGGCTGATTGGCAACATCATAATGGATGGTGCAGAGATTGAGATTGTTCACAGTTTTGGTTTGCTTGGATCCACAGTCAACACTCTTGACACCAGCAGCCAGGAAATTAAAAGACATACTACGATGAGAAACTCTGGTTAGAGACCTCTCTAAAGTACTGAAGTGCAAGGATGTCAGTCAAGTGTGCCTGATACATGCCGTGGTCTTTGCATTCACTTGCTATGCATTAGAGAGCTGGACAGTGACTAGGGATGATAGAAGGAGAATTGATGCCTTTGAGCTGTGGTGCTGGAGAAGAGTATTGAATATACCATGGACTGCTAAGAAAACGAACAGGTTTGTCCTGGAGAGGGTGAAACCGGGCTGCTCTTTGGAGGCATGGTTTCTGAAGCTTCGCCTGACATACTTTGGATATGTTGCAAGGAGGGACCAGTCCTTGGAGAGGGACATCATGCTTGGGAGAGTGGAGGGATAGTGCAGGAGAGAAAGACCCTCGATGAGATGGATTGATTCGGTGACTGGGGTAATGGCGGTAGGTGTGTCGAACATGGTGAGATTGGCACAGGATAGGGCAGAGTTTAGGGCTGTTGTACAAAGGGTTGCTATGAGTCGCAGGCGACTCAACAGCACATAACAACAACATTTATATCTAAGGAACTTCTGATGGCATTGCCCATAAGGCATGTCTTGCTAGCCCGAAGGTAACAGCTCTGGTGATTCGCAGCCCTACAAGATAAAGATGCACACTCTCCTCCCATGTGCTTAACAGCCGCTGAAACCTGCAGAAAGGTTAGCTGTGAGTCACTTCCGACTTGACCTCAAAGAGTTGAGTATTTCTAATGTTCCCTGGAGGAAAGGAAGACAAAGCTTCATCTCGCATACCTTGAGCATGGTGTTTGAAGAACCTGTTCCTTGAAGGAGGACAGGAGGGTTGACAAAAGAAAGGAAGACCCTCAGCCAGATATATTGACACAGTGACTGCATCTGTGGGCTCAAGTGTGTCAGAGATGGTGAAGACAGCACAGGATTGGTGCACAGGATTGGTTCACAGGATTATTCTGAGTCATAATCGACTCACTTGACACCCACGAAGAAATGTTGCAAAACTCTTGATTAAGAAAGCAGAAAATGCAGAGTTATGAAAATGGGTGCTTTAGTAATTGGTTGTAATTATATGTGTATTATACTCATGTTGAAATTAATAGAACAAAGGGAAATGTTCCTGTCTCTTAAGATCTGAAAGTATAAATATGAAAATCAATGCAATTACTTATGTAATCTCCCCCCCCCCCCCCACAGACCATTCGAAGGAAAAAGAAAATTCAGATACCGGTAGTTCATCCTGATCCTGAAGCAGTTTCTGACCATGAAGAAGATAGTTATGATGAGGAAGTGCCTGATCCAAGAAGTGTCCGTGGTGGTCTGTCTACCAGAAGGACTGACAAGAGCTGGACAAGGGATAGAAGCGCAAGTAGAGAGAGGAGCTTGTCTCCCCGATCGGATAGGCGGTCTGTGGCTTCCGGTCAGCCTGTCAAGCCCACCAAAGTCACATTGGTGAAGTCCAGGAAAAATGAGGGTATTCACCAATTCAGTATTTTCACATGAAAATCTTAAGACTTAATCTTTATGAGAATCAGAATTGTCAGTGTTTCTTTGCCACCTTTTGATTGTATTCTGTTGCTGTGAGTTCAGTTCTATTATGTTGGACTTCAGAGATTGTCTAATACTCTCTTCGGTTATTTTGATTTAGCACATAGGACTTCAAAGAAATACCTAGTAGTTGATAGAAAGTATAATGGACTTTATTTTTACAACCATTTTTGATACACAGAATAAATGTCGAGAAAGTACAGAGATTTTTTTCTCTTGCTGTCATTATTGTTGTACATTTGTTAAAGTTGGTGAATTAATATTGATATCTTAAAGACCATACATTACTATGAGATGAGAGTTACTAGAGGACAACAGCCAATATTTATTTACATCAAAGTTCATTCTTTGGTTTCAGGCTAATTTTTAAATTGAGGAATTGAGAGGGTGAGATACTTCTTACATGGGTATGTAGGAGTTCTTTAAAACACTTAATGAACTGAATGTTAGCTGCCACCTGCTTTAAGTTGTTGTTGTGGAATACAGTCCAGAAGATTCTGGCATATAACCACCCTGAGTGACAGACTAGAACTGTCCCATAGAGTTCTCTTGACCATAATCTTTGTGGAAGCCAGTCACTAGGTCTTTTTTATGCAGAAAGATTGGCTTGACACCCTTTCTACTTAACTGTTGTTACCACCTGGGCTCTTTCCTGCTTTAGACATGTCTCTCAACTGCAGAAAGCATTTATATTAAGTTGTCTTTATAGCCTGACTTTCATACCTCTTTCTAGGTCTTGTTCTCATTCCCTTTCTGTAGTTGACTTTGTTTCTACTTCATTTTATTAATTTGGTTGCTTCTTATTTATAAAATTCTCAGCTCTGATAGCTTACCTCAATAACTTCACACTGAATCTATGGAAAACTTTTCTGGTTTTGTCTTAACTTTCCTTTTTTGGTATCATTTGATATAGTTAACACACTCCTTGGTTTTGAAATAATGTCTTTGGTTGGCTTCTATAACAGTGAAGCCTTGTCCTAACTTTTAATGTTCTATATGTTTCTGTCCTAGAATCTTTTTTCAACTTAATCTGACCTCTTCAGATGACTTCATCAGCAATTGCTGCCTCGGGTAGCTGCTGCTGATGGCAGTCAGTACTTCTTTTTCCAGCTCAGGTCTGTATATTGGTTTCAGATAAATTTATCTAGCTTTAGAACATTGTCATGCTAATGCCTAAACTAAACCTAATGCTATCAAGTTTACCTCACTCTTAGCGACCCTGTAGGACAGAATAGAGCTGTCTCATAAGTTTACCAGGTCTGTAAATTTCTACAGAAGCCAACTGCTAAATCTCCTACACTCAAACCAAACTCATCACCTCTTAAATTTTATTTTCATGTTTCTTGTGCAGTATCTTAATAAATGTATTTCTAGCTACCCAGTTTTCCAAGCCAAGTAAATTATAGCTATACTTCGCATCTTTTTCCCCCTCAAGGTTTAACTTCCCTAATACCACTCTGACTTGTTCCTCTCTGGCCAATCTCTACTACCACAACAGTTGTCCAAACTCTCATAATCTCTTGCTGTCATTAGGTGCCATGTAGTCAGTTGTGATAAACAGCAAACCCTTTGTACAACAGAAACACTACATAGTTTTGCACTGTCTTCATATTTGAGGCTGATTTCCGCCTTCTTTCATAGTCACTGTACTCCTGTCTCATTGAGCATTCTTCCTCCATTTTGCTGACCCTCTTTTTTACCAAACAGTGGCCTGATAGTCTTTTTTTGGAGTCTTACATTAGAGTTGAAGGATCCTTTGTACAAGCTTCTTGGTTTTCTTCTGTTGTCCCTCTTCTTACTTTTCAACCTCACTTATCCTAGACAGAATGATTTCATCATCTTGCCAGCTTATCCCCTTCATATCTTTCAGTAGATTCATTTTGAAATATTCCATCTCCACAGCAGCACTACCACTTCTGTACACACACTCTCACTCATCTTTATTCCTGAGGGAAGCTTTTTTTGCTTCCCTGTAGACGTGGGCCCCAATGCTACTCTTCATTCGGTCTTCATCATGCTCATAGCTGCTGTGTTATGTCTTTCTCTTTCTTACTTGATAATTTGGAGGGTGCAAGACCAGCTTTCATTTTATGCTTTGTGCAGTGTGTGGCATAGTTTATATGTATTCAGAGAAATCTTTTAAATGAATGTATTTATAAATATATTTATTTATATATTAGGCATATATTTTAGTTATCTATATAATGGTAATTTATATATTTTAACCTTGAATAAAACTAGTATTTTTTTTAATATTATTTTATTCTGGTTTACTTTCAAATTGTTCTTTACACCAGATCTTTCTCATTTCCTTTACCCACCCCCCTCTCTACTCATCAACTTGTACGACCCTATGATTATCCCCTGCCCATCCTTACTGCTCAGCTCCTACCCTTCCTTGGATCATCATGCACATTTTACTAGTTATCTTTCTCTTTCTACAATTATGGTCTTATATAGTATTTGTCCTTATGTGACTGAGTTAGTTCACTCAGCATAATGCTCTCCAGTCCCTCCCAAGTTAGGTAGTGATTTTCAAAATCATTGCTCCTGCATCCTGCATAGTAGTCCATTGTGTGAATGTACCATAATTTCTCAGTCCATTCACTTGTGAGAACCAATGTTTTAATCATTAAATTTGTCTGTATTATAATGATAATTTCTAAAGCACATAGACTAATTATTAGATCCTCTTAAAAATACTTTTCTCTTGTCACCTTGACTCTGTTCTCCTCATGAGCACTTTCTTTATTTACCTTAAACTGTCACTGTGCTATAGATTTAAACACCATAGTAGCAGGTCTGCTCATTTAACCCATATTAAAATTGTTTTATCAATATAGTTCTTTTTTAAAAAAATAGAGATTTTATTGAAAGTTTATAAAGAATTTGGGTTTCCATTCATTGATTGCTGTATATTTTCCTCCCTGCCCCCACCCCCAGTTAGCTTTTTTTCGGGGGGGGAGAGTTCTTTTGTTGTTATACAGTACCCCCTTCCCAGACCACTTTACTATGCAGCTCTTACTCCAGACTCTTGTGATGCCAGTAATACCTAATCATATATTTCTTTTATACCTCATCTGTTTCAATACCATGTATATTATTTCTCCCCTCTTTTCGTGGTCTTCCCTGAACCCCAGTGTCAGTCCTGTTTTATAAACAGTGGCCTTATGCAGTATTTGTCTTTTTGTGGCTGAGATATTTCACTCAGCATAATATCATCCATGGTAATCCATTTTGTATAATATTTCATGAGTTCTTTGTTTTTCAGTGCTGCATCCATTGTGGGAAAAGTAAAACATAATGCTTGCTTGGTAAGCACAAGCCATAAGTAAAATCATAAATTCTATCAAATTTTAAGATCTCAGATAATTTTCGGTCAGAGTGTTTCATGACATTGATTACAGTTTGATAGTGTATTAGCATTCTCATCATTTTAGTTGTTTCCATTTATCTAGCTTTCCTGACCTTCCTCATTCCTCAACTTCTCGTGTCTGCTTTTGGGTGAATGTTGACCATTTGGCTCTCTTAAGAGACCACGGTGCTTATAAGCTGTATAGCTTGTTTTATTGGCCAACCTATTATTGGGCTGAAAGGAAACTAGGGGAGGGCCTTAAGGTCCAAGAATCGTCACTGGACAGTAGTGTTAGAGGTTCCTCTAAACTCTCCACTAAATCTGGTCTTTTCCTAGGGACTTTGGTTTTATTCTATATTTTTTACTATTTTCTTAGGACCTCCTAATTTATCTTCTGTCAGAATGGTCTGTTGTGGTATCTTGAACTCTCTAGTTCTTGTTTTAGTCTGGAAGAAAATGTCTTCATGTGGCCTATGAGTTCTTTGGGCTAGTTTCCTCTTTAACTGTGACGAGTCTACATTCTTTTTTATTACAAACAATAAGAGATTGGCTACTCAAAGCTCCTGAAATCCCAAATGCTGGGATGTCAGCAGAAATGGACAACAAGAAATAGTCTTCTCTTCAGGACATTCTCCCTTTCGATAAAATGGAACTGCTATTAGTCTTCTCTTGACATCATACTGTTTGCTTTCAGATTGACATTGCAAAGTTGTTCATCATTAGTGGAAATGCCTCATTTGAAAGGTGGCCAAGAATCATTAATTTTTACTGGTTATATTAAGAAACTTTATGCAGTGATTAGTCTTATACTATAAAACTCTGTTGTAACATCTCAAGATTTTACAATGAAGACATTTAATATATTTCAGAATATGGGCTTCGATTGGCCAGCCATATATTTGTAAAGGAAATTTCACAAGATAGCTTGGCCGCAAGAGATGGCAATATTCAAGAAGGCGATGTTGTATTGAAGGTATGTAAATTTCAGACTTATTGAAGGTATCTTAAATTTCAAAGAATTGAAATATATAACCTATTTTACTGTCATCTCAATGGAATAATACAGTTCAAATTCACCAACTGATCTGTGGGAGAAATATGGACAGTCTCCTTCTGGGCAATTAGCTACCTCTGCAAACCCGCTGGAGTCAGCTGTGAGTCAGTTCTGACACACAGCAACAACAATATATATTCGGGAAACATTACCATTAAACTTCAGAGGCACTGGTCACAGCATAAGAATCTATCAGCAACTGACGTTTTGGAATCACAGAAACCAAGGGAGTGGATAGAAATGGATGGGTATCCTGGTGGATCATGGAGTAGGGAAATAAGTGGGTAAAGTGCCAAAGGCAAGGACAACACTGATAGTAATGGTTCACCCCACAATAGGGATATATTTTTCATTCTTTCTGTAAAATGCTTGTCTGTCAGATACTTCTCTAAATCTGAACATTCAGATTAAGACAGACTAGGAAGAAGGGATTGGCCATCCACTTCTGAAACAGCAGAACTCTGAAAACCCTATGTACAACAGAACACAAGTAGAATAACAGGGCAGCTGAGGTGGAGCTTTCAAGTATGGAAATACAAAGGAAAAGGAACACTTGTAAACAGACACTAGTGATTGGGACATGGAATATGAGAACCACGAATGTAAGAAAATTAAATATTTTTAAGGAAGAAATGGAATGCAGAAATACTGACATATACTAGGCATTGGTGAGATGAGGTGGACTGGCATGAGGATTTTGATTTAGATAATCATATGATACATTGCTCCAGAGATGAAAAGGTGAGGAAAAATGGAGTTCCTTTCATAGTTAAGAAAGTCATTACAAGTTCCATCATGAAGTACAGTATTGTGAGTGACAGGATAATATCCATATGCATACAAGGAAGCCCAATGAATACCACTGTCATTCAGATATATGCACCAACAACCAGAGCCGAAGAAGAGGAAATAGAAGATTTCTACCAACTTTTACAGTCAGAGATTGATGGAACATGTGATCAAGATGCATTGTTAATAATGGGTGACAGAATGCAAAAGTTGGGAACAGAGAAGAAGATTCAGTAGTTGGAAAACATGGACTCGGTGACAGAAATGGAGCTGGAGAGAGAATGATTGAATTTTGCACAATCAATGACTTTTATTCATTGCAAATATCCTTTTTAAGAGACATAAACGCAGGTTATATACATGGATTTCATCTGTTGGTATGTACAGGAATCAGATCGATAACATCTGCAGAAAGAACCGCTGGAGAAGCTCAGTATCAGCTGTGAAAACTAGGCCTGGAGCTGATTGTGGAACAGATCACCAACTACTCATATGCAAGTTCATGCTGAAGCTGAGGAAAATTAAGCCAAATCCACGGGAACCAAAATAATGACTTTGAGTCTATCCCACCTGAATTTCAGAACCATCTCAGGAACAAGTTTGAGGCCTTGAACACTAATGAGCGAAGACCAGACGAGCTGTGGGAGGATATCAAGGGTTATCATCCAGGAAGAGTGTTAACGGTCATTGCAAAGACAGAAGAGGACGAAAAGACCAAAATGGATGTCAGAAGAAACTCTGAAGATTGCACTGGAGCGTAGAGAAGCCAAAGCACAAGGAAGAATTCAAGATACTAAAGAGCTGAATAGAAGATTTCAAAAGGCAGCACAGGATGACAAAGAAAATTACAATGAAATGTGCAAGGAGTTGAAGTCAGAAAATCAAAAGGGCCGAACTCGCTCAGCATTTCTTAAGCTCAAGGAACTGAAGAACAAATTCAAACCTCAAGTTGCTATAATCAAGGATGCTTTCGGCAGAATATTAAATAATCCAGGAAGTATTAAAAGAAGATGGAAAGAATATACTGAGTCATTGTATCAAAAGGAATTTGCAGACACAGAAGAATTTCATGAAACAACATAGGAGCAAGAGCCTATGGTGATGAAGGAAGAAGTTCAGGCTTCTTTGAAGGAAATAGCAAAAAAATAAGGCCCCAGGAATAGATGGTATACCAATTGACATATTTTAGCTAACAAAACTGCCCTAGATGTGCTCACTAAGTTGTGCCAAGAAATCTGGAGAACAACCACTTGGCCAACTGACTGGAAGAGATCTGTATTTGTTCCCATCCCAAGGAAGGGGTGACGCAACAGAGTGTGGAAACTTTAGAACAGTATCATTGATTTCACATGCAAGTCAAGAGTCTACTGAAGATTATTCAAAAACGACTGGCAGAGAACTGCCAGAAGTCCAAACTGGGTTTAGAAGGGGTCGCGGTACTAGGGATATAGGTAGCTAATTTTAGATGGATCTTAGCTGAAAGAAGGGAATACCAGAGGAATGTATATTTGTGTTTCATTAATTATGCAAAGGTGTTTGACTGTGTTTAGCATAACAAACTGGCTGACTCTGAGAAGAATGGGAATCCCAGAACACTTGATCGTGCTAATACGAAACCTGTACTTGGACCAAGAGAAAGTCGTCAGAACAGGGCAAGGAAACAATGCATGGTTCAATATTGGGAGGAACATATGCCAGGGATATGTCCTGTCTCCATACCTTTTGGACCTGTATGCAGAACAGATTTTCTGAGAAGCTGGGCTCTATGAGGAAAAATGTTGGGTCAAGATTGGCAGAACATCTATCAACAATGTGTGATATGCAGATGACACAACCCTGCTTGCTGAAACTGAGGAGGACCTGAAGCGCTTGCTGCCTTCAATATGGATTGAGGCTCACTGTCAAGAAAACAAAGATTCTCACCACTGGACCAGTTGGCAGCATCAGGATGAATGGTGAAGAGATTGAGATTTTTCACAGCTTTAGTTTGCTTGGCTCCACAGTCAACATTCTTGGCACCAGCAGCCAAGAAATTAAAAGATGTATTGCGATGGAAAAGTCTGCTGTTAGGGACGTTTTCAAAGTTCTGAAGAGCAATGGTGTCTCTCTGGATACTAAGGTGAGTCTGATACAGGCCATGGTCTTTTTAATCACTTGTTACGCATTAGAGAGTTGGACAATGACTAGGGAGGATAGAAGGAGAATAGATGCCTTTAAGCTGTGGTATGGAGAAGAATGTTGAGGGTACCATGGACTGCTAGGAAAACAGATTCAGCCTGGAGAGGGTTAAACCGGGCTGCTCCTTGGAGGCAAGGATTCTGAGGCTTCGTCTAACGTACTTTGGACATGTTGTAAGGAGGGACCGGTCCTTGGAGAGGGACATCATTTTTGGGAGGGTGAAGGGACAGGGCAGGAGGGGAAGGCCCTCTATGAGGTGGATTGATTCAGTGACTCAGGTAATCGGGATCGGTGTGTCAGAGACAGTGAGATTGACACAGGACAGAGCAGAGTTTAGGGCTGTTGTGCTTAGGTTCGCTATGAGTCACAAGCAACTGGACAGCACATAACAACAATATGTGTTGTTTTGACAAATATTTGGAAAGGGGGGCCTGATTTACCAGTTTTTTGGTTACATGTTAGCCAGTACACTGGTGTTTCTGGTGTAGTCATCTCAGAAATAGAATTGCTCTAATGTTTATCATTCACTCAAAGGAATTATCTTGTTGGTAGATATGTCTCTTCTATGTTTTTTTTTTTAAGGGAAAGGAAAATAGAGGTTGTTAATTTCAGGGTTTTTAGGGAAAGTATCAATACACAAAGCTTTTATTTCTATAAGATTGAATTGTTGCAGACTGAGGGTAAAGTATTTTAATAATTAATTATGAGACAGAAAACCAAGAATGGCATAAAGTAGAGAGTCATAAACGGGGGCCAGCAGTTCCAGTTAACTAAAGTCTCACGTGCCACACCGCTCTCTATTTATTGAGAATCTGGGGAAGCAAATCGGAAAGAGAGTTCCCTTGTAAACGAAGCTGAATTTTTCTCTATTGTCAACCTGATAACTTGGCTCAGGAAGGAAGTAGTTCACAAGTACAGACTTTTATGCTCCCCTTGCTGGGGACCTAGCTATCTCTTCTCTGCAGAAAGCAGCTCATTTCCTGTGATATGTCACAAGAGAAATTCTAACTTAAAATTTTGTGATTCCTTCAGTTCTTGAGTAAACATACGGTTTATCATATAATACCTGGTATGAAATTTGGCTTCCCACATGGACTAGTTTGATAATTTAGAAACATGTGTAAGGAATTTCTTTTTCCTGTCAGCAAACCAAGGTGTATAGTTTGGCAATGCCCATCCTGAACAGACTAATATTTACATTTTTTTATTATCTCTGAACCAATAGTGGTTTTTTTAATTGCAGATAAATGGCACTGTGACAGAAAATATGTCACTCACTGATGCAAAGACCTTGATAGAAAGATCTAAAGGCAAATTGAAAATGGTGGTTCAAAGAGATGAACGAGCAACTCTTCTCAACGTCCCTGATCTTTCTGACAGTATCCACTCTGCAAATGCATCAGAGCGAGATGGTGAGTATGATTCCTTTTGGAAGTTCCCTTTGTGTGATTTTCTTTTAAAAAAACTAAGATTATTTGACTTGTTGAATAAAATGGTGGCTTTATATAATCCAAGCACTTTTAAAATATGAAGACTAAAGAATATTTGAAGTTGATATATACACATATTTTGTCTATAGGCAGCCCATCACAGTTGATTTGATGACTATCTGATGAAGGGAACATTAATAGGGAACTGTCCTGCTAAGGAACTGTCCTGCTAAGCAAAGGTAGCACTCCTCTGATGGCTCGAATCCACCAGCTAGCTGCTCCACAGGAGAAAGATGGTCATTCTTCCCTGATGGCAGTTTATAGCCTCTGAAAACCCACTGGACAATCAGCTATAAGTACATTTTGACTCAGCAGCAATGAGAAATGAGCTGATGACATTAATGCTTAAATAAACCACTTTTCCATTATCATGGGACTGCATTTTCTTTTACTATAATCATTTTATAGGAAAATAAAAAGAACATTTTTGTCTAATAGACATTTCAGAAATTCAGTCACTGGCATCAGATCACTCTAATCGATCACATGACAGGCCCCCTCGCCGCAGCCAGTCTCGATCTCCAGACCAAAGGTCAGAGCCTTCTGATCTCTCCAGACATTCTCCACAGCAGCCCAGCAGTGGCAGGTAAGAGCTCTCTTGTTTAAGAAAATTATACTTGCCTGGTTGCATGCATATGGTATTGCTTAAGTTGGAACATAGATTTTCCCTTTGTTATTCCAGATGAGACCATTGTTTTCTTCTCATTGTTGGTATATCCTCTGTAGAGTGACACTCAGCTGCCCATCAACCACTCCCCCATGGAAGGAAGCTGAGGCAGCCTGCTTCCATAAAGATAACCAGCCATGGAAACTATAGCAGCTCTGCTGAACCGTGCAGGCTCACTGTCAGTCAGTCAGCTTGACAGCACTATATTTGGAATTTTGTTTTGTTTCTGTATAATAATAGAGATCTGTCAATCTTATTAGAAACCCTGAAAGTAAATAGGCATATGTCCTATAAGTGTGTCATAAATATGCAACTCTCTGGCACAAAAGCAGTCAAAGACAAAGTTACAGTCTCTTCGAACCCATATTGACTTCACTGGAAGATGCATTAGGAAAATCTCAGTGAACTCAGGAATCTACTGTGCTACTTGGAAAGATTATTTACAATAGAAATTCTCTATTTGACATATTAACCTAGACTAACTTTTCCATTTTGAAAATGTATTTGTCTGGCTCTTAAGTGAAATTACCTGCTAGGATAGTGGAATCTGACCTTTCTGAACTTAAATCTTGCAAGTCACGTAGACCTTTGAGAATTTCAGAAAAACTAAGGTCCTTCTCTCGAGAAAAATACACATGTGCACCATTTTGCATATCATTGAAAGATTCTCAGGGCTCTGCAAGCATCATTGGGCCCGTGGCCAATCATGAATACACATGGAGCAATTGTGGAGGTACTTGAAATTGTCATTTAGAGCCAGTGAGAGAGGTGAGAGATAGGCATATTGATTTGCAGCTTTTTGGTATAAGGGTGTTAGCAGAAGCCATGAGTGTCATTGAAATTACTTAAGAACAATTTGCATATTCCTTAAGAAAAATGAGAAGACGAGTGAGAAAAGAATACCTTGGCAAGAGAAAATGTTTTAAAAGTTTGCCAAAAGCCAGCGGGTGGGTAAGGAGAAAAGTGCAACAATGAATGACTGGAAACCATAAGTCTCTCTAAACTTTCATTAAAAAGTTTTAAAAAGTTTGCCAAAAGCCATAGTGATAAGAATTATTAAACCACTCCTATATTTACAAGCTGTTTGACTTGCAGCTCAAATGGGACCTAGGAAGAGAATCATTTGAACAACTCTGAGTGTGGTGGTTGTGCTAAATCAATTTTATCCAATGTAGCTTTTAGAGATTTATGATTATTTTCTACCAAATCTTAAATGCATAAATTTTATCATTTCTGATCTTTACAGTTTGAAGTAATTTTTTAGAAGTAGTATAGAATGTGAAGTGCAAAAGTAGTTAATCTTACGATTATTGTTCTTATTGGAAGTTAATAGATTAATTCCAAAAATCCCTACTGATTATCAAGAAAAGGATTATTGCCACAACACATAACAGAGATAGAACAAACGTCTCTGATGATTCATAGGCACAGCTAGAATTGCAGCACATCTCTCTTCATCTAGAGACCATGTTTAAAATTAAGCATTATGGGCATGATTTTCCTTTAGGGGGTAAAAAATTAACATTCATCAAAATCTCAAAATTTTGACCACTTATTTTTTATTGTGAGCCAATTCCGGTAGTTCTTTCTCATAATTAATTTTTTCATTTAGGCTCCTCATATTTGTAATCTAGATTTAAAGGTTTCCATCTTATTGAAATGTTTTATTTGTCATAAAAACACACTTAAACTAATTAATCTCTAGTCAGAACCTACTCATAGCAGACTGTCCGACAGTTCAGGGACAGTGAATCACTTCGGAGATTGTCCATCTGTCTCCTGTGGAGCAGCTGATAGATTCAAGCCATATGCTTTTGGGTTGGCAGTGCAACTCCTTACTCAGTAAGCCACCAAAATTCTTAGGAATGTTAAATACCAGTTTATGGGAAATTTTTAAAAATACAGACTCGTAGGTTTAGTTCTCAGGTCATCTGAGAAGTGGCATGAAATCCTTCTCACTTCACTTACCACTTGTTAACTTTTAAAGCCCCTGGTATGATTGTCTGGTGTAAACTGTTAGATTTAAGAATTGCTATGGTGGTCATCGAAGACATCCATGAAGAAAGTATAAAAGGTCATTACAAAGACAGAGGGAAACAAAAAGGCCAAAAGGTATGTCAGAACAAACTGTGGAATTTACGGTGGAACAAAAGGAAGCCACATAAGGAGAAGGAATCCTGAGATAATTGAGGTGAAAGATTTCTAAGAGAGCTTGAGAAGACAAAGCAAGATACTGTAATAAAATGTGCAAGGAGCTAGAGTTAGAAAACCAAAAGGGAAGAACATATTCAGCATTTCTAAGTTGAAAGAATAGAAAAATTCAAGCGTCAACTTGCAACACCGAACAAATGTATTTGCAAAGTACAGAGTGACTTGGTGTGACCAAAATGAATTGGTCAACAGTAAACCATTTCAGAAAATAGCATATGATCAAGAACCAGTGATAGGAAAGATGTTCAAGCTAGCACTGAAGGAACTGACAAAAAATCTCCAGAATTGATGAGATACCAGTTGACTTATTTCAGCAAGCAGATGCAGCCCTGCACACACTCATCAGTCTGTGTCAAGAAATTTGGAAGCCAGCTACCTGGCCAACTAACTGAAAGAGATCCATATTTGTTTCTATGCTTGGTAGGGTGGAGAGACGGCGCAGAAGGGGAAGACCCTCTATGAGGTGGATTAAGTGACTGGGGTAATCGGAATGGGTGTGTTAGAGGCAGTGCGATCAGCACAGGATAGAACAGGGTTTAGGGCTGTTGTACATAGGGTTGCTATGAGTCGCAAGCAACTCGATGGCACATAACAATACAATTATTCCCCAAAAAGGTGATCTAATAGAATGTGTAGATCAGATATTTTTCTAACAAATTAGCAAAAAATATCACATACATATAAAATCTTGCTGAAGATTATCTGAAAAAGGCTGGAACAATACAGCATCAGAGAACTCCCAAGAACTCTAGCTAGATTTAGAAGCAGCCATACCACAAAGGTTATCATTGCTGATGTCAGATGGATCTTGGCTGAAAGCAGATGTCAGTTTGTGTTTTATTGGCTTTGCAAAGGCATTTGACTATGTGAATCATAATAAATTATTACAGACACTGAGATGACTAGGAATCCCAAAACACTTAATTGTGTTCATGTGAAGTGTATGCTCAGACTAAGAACTCGTCATCTGAACAGAGCAAGGAGACACTTCATAATTTAAAATAAAAAATGTGTGACAGGGCTGTGTCCTTTTTCCATATCTACTCGGTCTCTATGCCAAGGATCGTTAACAATCTGCAGTTCACAGATGAGACAGAAGTGCTGGCGGAAAATGAAGACTTCTGAAGCATTTAGTGCAGAAATCACAGATGAGACAGAAGTGCTGGCGGAAAATGAAGACTTCTGAAGCATTTAGTGCAGAACTATTTTCTAAAGCATTTAGTGCAGAAGATCTATTGCCTTTATAATAGACTACATCTCAACATCAAAAAGAAAAATCCTCACCAGTAGGCCAATAAGCAGCAACATTTACTTGGAAAAAAGATTTAAGTTGCCAACAATTTCATATGTCTCGGAGAAAGTGCTCCTTCAAGGTAAGGATGATAACATACAGTGGACATGTTATTGGGAGAGGCGGGTCCTTGGAAAAGGTCATAATATTTGAAAGGTAGAGCGTCAATGAAAGTGGAAGACTGGCAATGAAATGCTTTAGCACAGTGACTAACAATGGGCTGAAGCATATCAGAAATATTGAGGATGTGATAGGATGGAGCAAAGTTCAGATCTCTTGTTCATCTATATGGTCACTGTGAGTCACAACGGATTTGAAAGCACCTAACAACAATTAGATTAAAATGTACAGGTCTTGGTATCTTGGTACCAGCAGTCAGGAGACAAGGACATATATTACATTGGGAAAGTCTGCAGTCAGAGACCGCTACAAATTATTGAAGATCACTGATGTCAGTTTCAGAATTATGGTGCATCTGATTCAGACCATAACCTTTTAAATCTCTTGCTAAGCTGCTGAGAGGACAGTGGATAAGGATGACAGAAGAAGTGATGCCTTTTAACTGTGATGTTGGTGAAAAGTGCTGAATATCCCATGGCTGCCAAAGGAGCAAACAGATGTCTTTGAGGAGATGCAGCCAGAGTGTTCTTTGAGGCAAGGATGGCAAAGGTTCATCTCATGTACCTTAGATATCTTGTTAGTAGAGGCTCTTCCTTGGAGATGGAAATTATGCTTGGAAAGGAAGAAGGACTGCAGAGGAGAAGAACGAAACACCTCAGCCAGGTGGATTGACACAGTCATTACAGCACTGGGCTCACGTGTGTCAGATTGTGAGGATGTCACAGGATAGGACAGGGCTCAGATTTTTTGTTTATTAAGTCACTGTTAGTTGTACTTGATGGCACCTAACAACATCATCCTTCCTGAGAGAAAACCAAAACAGCTTTAAGAAGATCTTGGGGTCTTCAGAATTCATCAAGTCTCTTCGTAGACTATAAGATTCTTCAGATTTTCTGGATAAATTAGAATCAGACTCAATGGCATGATATTTGTGTGAGGTCCACTTTTGTTATGAACGAAACTTAAATGTTAACTTGCGAACTTTTAGGGCTAAAATCTCTAAAGTCTATGTAAGATCCTTTAATAATAATTATCTGAGATAAAAAGTGAGAAAATGATATTTTCTTTTGGTTCAACAGAATACAAAAATATCTTTTTTATAGACTGTTTCCATGTGTATAATTCTGTTTTTATCTTTCAATAGACATCGTTGTACTTGCACATAATAAGCACGTTCTCAATGGCTATGAGAAGTTGCATGTTTTACTCTATAAATTAACTCAAATGGAGCTATGGTGGCCTAGTGGCAAGAAACTGTGCTGCAATCCTGAAGGTGATGCAAGGCCACCAACTCCTCCACGCCTCTGAAAGGTCAACTGGAGGGTCAAATATAGGTCAGCTCCAACTCTGCAGATCACAGCAACAAGAAAGCTTTAACAAAAACTTATGTCTTTAACCATTAGCAGTAAGTGGTTATTGAGCATTTGAAATTTAGTCATTCTGAATTGAGATATGTTGTAAGCATGAAGTACACTTTGATTTTGAAGACTAGGTAAGTACTGCCAACCCAAAGGCAGGTAGTTTGAATCCACCAGCCATTCTTAAGGGAAAGGATAAGCAGTCTCCTCCTGTGAGATTTACAGCCTTTGAAAACCTTCTCAAGAGACAACCATGAGTCAGTTCCTCCTCCTCACAGTTCATAACTTGGAATGATACCTAACAACAACAAAGTCAGAAAACCCTCACTCAGTAAAGTAGTTTGACCCAGTGCCTTCTGCAGTGGGTATAAACATAGCTCCTAGAGTGGCCGGGGACCAGACGTCTTTCCCTTTGTGATTCATGAGGTCCCTGAGTTAGCCCTGACTTCTAGGCACCTGACAACTTGATAACATTTTGTGATACATTGACTTAAATAAAACTCAATAATAGATGTCACCTCTCTTTAAATGAACACAGCTTCTGAAAATTATATATTCTAAAAATAGCCCGTGTTATACTTTTTGTTGAATTGCATGCCTTTAGGAGTGACTACGTCTTTCTCTTGTTAATGAATGGAAGTATAAGAAAAAGAGCCATCAGCAGCAAGCAATATGTGTTCTAACAATGTCAATTGTTAATTTAAAGGTTGATTGCTTTTTAAAGTCTTGGTAATTATATTTGAGGGTCAGTAGAATTGAAAGTTATTTTAAATAAAAATACTTGATAGAAATTTTAACTATGCATTTAAGAATCCTCCTCATTTTAGCACAAAGGACACATCTACTGATTTTAATTGGAAAAGCCAATCAAGTTAAATGTGGTAGTTCTGAGTTACCATAAAAGTATGTCAATTGGTGACATTTTCATTTAGAATTTTTTAAATTGTGGTTAAAATTGGAAATAGTTTGTTTCATTTCATCTTTAGGTTTACAGTTCAAATTCTGCTTCCTAAAAAACAACAGAAATTATTAAATTACTAAAAGTAGTATCAAGAATTCTTCATCTTTAACATTAAATTTCTTTTTAAAATATTCATATCTATAATACATACTTGCATTTTTATGCAAAGAATGTAAGAATTTATTCTTGGAGCAAGGAGCCATAATGGTATTTATGTGTGCTTTGTTAATTATATATGAAATTTTATTACCTAAACTATAGCTACACTTTTTTTTCCTTTTTTCTGTTTTAAAAATAATTTATCCTTGTTATGGGAGATATCTTTTTCTTTTTTTCCTGAGATATATAAATGATTGTACAGATTATTAATATGTCTAATTTTAAAATACAGTAAACCTCCTGTAAAACAAAAAACGCCCATATCTATCTAACCTTTATCAAATTCACAAAGGGGAACCATCCCTGTCAACAGCATCAACAACACAAAACCAATTCCCATGAGTTCCTACATGTCCCCCATGCTCCTGTACCTCTTTCTACTCATCTCAGCATCAATCTTACTACTTGGCTGGGTCCTAAATCTGACAGAATAGCTCATAACAAAACAGAAACATATTGAGGAACTCAAAAGATTATAATCCAGGTTACAGTCAGGACAGCTGCTTAAATGTGCTCACAGTCCAGGCACTTTAGACTTTAGCCTTGGGGCTTACAAAGCTCTCAGTCCTCTTCCCCCCATCCCCCACGCCAGTCTTTACATGAACTTTGGCAAAGGCTCTTAGCTCTGGTTCCAATGGAAATAACAGTCCCAAGGTCAACTCTCGGGTCTCTGGTCCTCGGCTTCAGCTACTGCTGCTGCTGTGACTCCAGCTGGCACAAAAATCTCTAGCCCTGAAGAGTGTTCACTGCATGCCTGCTTCTCCTTTGCAATTTTGCTACTCTATCTGCTCAACTTAATGGCAGGACAAGGCATTCCCCTTGTGTATTGGTGAGACTAGCCAGTCCCCTTGTGGATAGGCTAACAACACCCTTTTCACATATTTCTACCCATCCACGTGGCAGAGTCAAATTCAAATGAGTAGGAAAGCCATTTTGAACACTAAACGCTTCACTGTGTAGATCAACTCCAACAGAGTTGTTGTTGTTGTTATTGTTATTGTTATGTGCCGTCAAGTCGCTTGCGACTCATAGCGATCCTGTGTACAACAGCCCTAAACTCTGCTCTGTCCTGTGCCAGTCACACTATCTCTGACACTCCCATCCTGATTATCCCAGTCACTGAATCAATCCACCTCATAGAGGGCCTTCCCCTCCTGCGCTGTCCCTCCTCCCTCCCAAGCGTGATGTCCTTCTCCAAGGACCGGTCTCTCCTCACAGCATGTCCAAAATATGTTAGACGAAGCCTCAGAATCCTTGCCTCCAAGGAGCAACCTGATTTAACCCTTTCCAGGGCGAATCTTTTTGTTTCCCAGCAGTCCATGGTATTCTCAATACTCTTCTCCAGCACCACAGCTCAAAGGCATACATTCTCCTTCTATCTTCCTTGGTCATTGTCCAATTCTCTGGTGCATAACAAGTGATTGTGAAGACCATGGCTTGTATCAGATGCACCTTAGTCTCCAGAGAGACACCATTGCTCTTCAGTACTTTGGAGAGGTCCCTAACAGCAGACTTTCCCATGGCAATGAGCCTTTTAATTTCCTGGCTACTGGTGCCGAGAGTTTTGACTGTGGAGCCAAGCAAACTAAAGCTGTACAATCTCATTCTCTTCACCATCCATCCTGATGCTGCCAATTAGGAATTTATGAGAAGAAACTTTTTCTAATATGAGACTTAAAAATATGAAAGCAAAATCCTTGCTGTAAGTTCACTTTAATTCTATTTAAAAATTATAAACATTAAGTGTATTACATTAATTTTTTGTCATGTAGAATTATTTTTAATCTTTTTTTGGTGATGGTGATGATGTATGCCCTCAAGTCGGAATCTACTCATAGCTGACCCTCTAGGGGATTTTCAGAGTCATTTGTTAGGATCTTGCCCGTCTTTCTCCCAAGGAACATAATTCAGACTGAGTGCCTTTGGGTAAGACAGCACAACTCCTTGGTCACCGGAGATCCCTTTATTTATCATAAATATCTCCTCGTTGTAAAAATTGAAATAACTCACTGTTGTTGAGTGAAGGGAATCTGGCTCATAGCAACTCTACAGAACCTCTGTGCTGCCCCAAATGGAAGCAGCACAATTGAAATACTGCAGTATATAGTCAGGAACTCATTTGTCGCTTCTGAATTCCTATCTTGCCTGTCAAGGTCACTTCAATTTCCTAGTACACAGATTTTCTCGAGAAGTTACAGTTTTTAAAAGTATTGTTATTAGTAGTTTTTTCTTTTCATTTTCATCTAACTGTTGCCATCTAATTCCATCATATGGCTGTTTAGATTTCTTGAATATAAGCAAAATTCTCTTTGTTAAATATATTTTTAAAGTAGTCTTTAATGATCATTAATATTTTCTCCCTACTATTTCATGCCTCTTAATGATTGCATAGTTAAAATAATGATCAATAACAATTGTGGTTTTTACTGGTTTTCTTAAGTAAATTAATTCACCATTTCACTACTTAATATGTTGTTTGGTTTCTGGAAAATAGTCTCGCAATCCACAAGTTCTTACTTTGCCTTGTAGGGGTTTTTTTTTGTTGGGTTTGGTTTGTGGGGTTTTGTTGTCTTATAGTTTTTATTACTAATTTTATGACTCCTGAACTTTCCCAAATTCTTCCTTTTCTATGATGTTTGGATAGAAGAATAAATTATGTCAGTCGGTTTCTTAATGCTGAACCAGCCTTGCACTCCTGAAATAACCTTACTGTGCTCATTGTCTTCTGATAGACAGCTGTTTTCTTACCTAGTACTTAGAATAGTATGTTATTTTGTTTTTCAGAAGTTAGGAGGACTCAGCTGTAAAACCATCTATACATGATACCCTTTAATATAGGAGTTTTTGAATTATCTTTTATTTCAGATTTTTTTAATTGACATTTTCTCGTATGTATATATGTAATTTTTATTGTATCCGTATCTATATTTTTTTTCTGGCAAGACTATTGAACAAATAGTTTGGTTTGTGCTAAAAAAAGGCTTTTGGCATGATTGCTCTAACAACTTTTAGACATATATCTAAGTATTTATGTATGATAAATCTAAAATTGGAAAAACTAGACATTACATATTTGCATTTTCTGCTTAAATAAATAGTATCTTTTGCCTGCAAATAGTTATACTGATTACATTCCCTTTGACTACCATTTTATGAATTGCCTGTTTGTATTTGGTCATTTATGTCTTCATTTGTCATTCTGAAACTTTGTATTCTAAATCTCAAACTTTGTGTCATCTTAGGTCAAATTATTTTTATTGATATTCTCAGTATTGAACTCTCACTAGAAAGTTAGGTTTAAATATATGAAACTGGCTTATATATGATAGTTTAAACTGAAAAACAAACCATTTTTTCTGGCCCAGCCCAATACAAAAGTTCTTTTTTGTCATTGATACACAAATCTGATTTTTAAAAAGTGGTGGTCGTTTTCACTAGCACCTTTTATTAAACAATGCATTCTTTTCCAACAATATTGAATGACACTTCCATAATAACCTTGTCCGTCATGTAATGTATCTCTCCATTTGTTTCTGTGGTAATACCATGCTGGTTTTAATTACTCAGTTTTTACAATTTTTTGTTACCTATTTGAGCATGTTTCTTACTGTTTTTCTCAGTTAACTGTTCTTACAAAAGATTTTCAACTCATCCTTAATGTTCTGATTTTTAATTTTAACAATGCATAGTCTCCGGAGCAGGGAAGAAGAGCGAATTTCTAAGACTGGACCTGTCTCAACCCCTCTAAAGCATTCAGATGATCACTCACCTAAAACTGTGGAAGAAATTATAGTTGAAAAAAATGAGAAACAAGTACCCACTCTTCCAGGTAAGTTAGGTAAAAATACTAAATTCACATTTTTTATCAATTTAAAATTATTGTTAAGAATTGCAGATTATATTACTACCTAAACAAGAAGCTGGAATCAGAAAATCAAAAGGGATGAACTTGCTCAGCATTTCTTAAGATAAAGGTACTGAAAAACAAATTCAAGCCTTGAGTTAAAATACTTAAGGATGCGTTGTGCGGAATACTATATGATCCAGGAAGCATTAAAAGAAGATGGAAAGAGTAGTCACTGTACCAGAAAGATTTGCCTAGCATAGAAGAATTCCATGAAACAACAGAAGGCACTGGTTATAAAGGAACAAATTCAAGCCGCTCTGAAAGAATTGGCAAAAACGGAATTCCTAGGAATTGATGGAATACCAAATGAGAGATTTCACCAAACAGATGCTGAATGGAACATGCTCACAGGTTGTGCCAAGAAATCTGGAGCACAGTTGCCTGGCCAATTGACTGGAAGAGATCCGTATCTATTCCCACTCCAAAAAAAAGGTGATCTAATAGGATGTGGAAATTATCCAACAACATCACTAATAGCACACAAGCAAAATCCTGCTGAAGATTATCCAAAACGACTGGAACATTGACAGAGAACTACCAGAAGTACAAGCTGGGTTTAGAAGAGGTCGTGGCACTAGAGATATTATAACTAATGTCAGATGTATCTTGGCAGAAAGCAAAGAGTACTAGAAGAATGTCTGTCAATGTTTCATTGACTATTCAAAGACATTTGACTGTGGATCACAACAAATTGTGCCTAACCTTGAGAAGAATGGGAATCCCAGAACATTTGATCATGTTCATGAATCAGGAATGTGTTAGGGATGCCGTCTGTCTCCATAACTTTTCAGTCTTTATGTAGAACAAATCATTTGGAAGGCTGAGCTTTATGAGGAAGAGTGTGGCGTCAGGATTGAAGGAAGACTCATCGATAACCTGTGTTACGTAGATAACACAACCTTGCTTGCTCAAACTGAGGAGGGCCTGAGTTATTTGTTGCAGAAAGTCAAGGACCGGAGTCTTCAATCAGGATTAAAGCTCAACATCAAGAAGACAGATTTTCACCACTGGGCCAGTTGGGGGCACCATGATAGATGGAGAAAAGTTTGAGGTTGTTAACAATTATAGCTTGCTTGGCTCCACAGTCAACACTCTGCACCAGCAGTTAAGAAATCAAGATGAATTTCACTGGGAAAATCTGTCAGGGACCTCTCTAGAATACTGAGAAGCAAGACGTCAGTCTAGATGTGCACCTGATCCAGGCCATGGTTTTCTCAATTGCTCTGCATGAGAGAGCTAGACAGTGACTAAGGATGACAGAAGAATAATTGATTCCTTTGAGTTGTGGTGCTGGAGAAGAGTCTTGAACATACCATGGCCTACCAAGAAAGCAAATGTTGTGTTGTTGTTATGTGCCATTGAGTCGCATGCGACTCATAGCGACCCTATGCATAATAGCTCTAAACTCTGCTCTGTCTTCTGCCAATCACACTGTCTCTGACACTCCCATCCCGATAACCCCAGTCACCTAATCAGTCCACCTCAGAGAGGGCGTTCCCCTCCTGCACTGTCCCTCCACCTTCCCCAGCATGATGTCCTTCTCCAAGGACTGGTCTCTCCTCACAACATGTCCAAAATATGTTAGACGGAGCCTCAGAATTCTTGCCTCCAAGGAGCCACCCAGTTTAACCCTTTCCAGGACAAATCTGTTTGTTTTCCTAGCAGTCCATGGTATTCTCAATACTCTGCTCCAGCACCACAACTCAAAGGCATACATTCTCCTTCTATCTTCCTTGGTCATTGTCCAATTCTCTAATGCATAACAAGTGATTGTGAAGACCATGGCCTGTATCAGACACACCTTAGTCTCCAGAGAGACACCATTGCTCTTCAGTACTTTGGAGAGGTCCCTAACAGCAGACTTTCCCAGGGCAGTGCACCTTTTAATTTCCTGGCTACTGGTGCCAAGAGTGTTGACTGTGGAGCCAAGCAAACTAAAGCTGTGAACAATCTCAATCTCTTCACCATCCATCCTTATGCTTCCAATTGGCCCAGTGGTGAGAATCTTTGTTTTCTTGACATTGAGCCTCAAGTCATATTGGAGGCTACAGTCCTTGACCCTCTGCAGCAGGTGCTTCAGGTCCTTTTCACTTTCAGCAAGCAGGGTTGTGTCATCTGCATAATGCAGATTGTTGATAGATCTTCCACCAATCTTGACCCCACATTTCTCTTCATAGAGCCCAGCCTCCCGGTTGATCTGTTCTGCATACAGGTTGAAAAGATATGGAGATAGGATGCATCCCTGGCGTATTTCAGCTAACAGATGCTGCCCTGGATGTGCTCACCAAGTTGTGCAAAGAAATCTGGAGAACAACCACTTGGGCAGCAGACTGGAAGAGATCTATATTTGTTCCCATCCCAAAGAAAGGTGACCCAACAGAGTGTGGAAACTATAGAACAATATTGATTTCACATGCAAGCAAGATTCTACTGAAGATTATCCAAAAACGACTGGAAGAGCACATCAGCAGAGAACTGCCAGAAGTCCAGGCTGAGTTTAGAAGGGGTCATGGTATTAGGGCTATTATAGCTGATGTTAGATGGATCTTAGCTTAAAGCAGGAAATTCCAGAGGAATGTCTATCTGTGTTTCATTGACTATGCAAAGGCATTTGATTGTGTGGATCATAACAAACTGTGGCTGACTCTGAGGAAAATGGGAATTCCAGAACACTTGATAGTTCTAATGTGAAACCTATACTTGGGACAGGAGGCAGTCGTCAGAACAGAGAAAGCAAATAGTTCTGTGAAATCCAGTTTCTCCTTGAGGCTAGGATTTTGAAGCTGTGTATCTCATACTTTGGACATGTGGCCAGGAGGCATCAATCCTTGGGGAAGGATATCATGTCTGGAAGGGTGGAGGGACATCACAGGAGAAGACAACACTGGATGAGATGGATTGACATGGTAACTTGCTTAGTAGGAGTAGGTGTGTCAGAGTCAGTGAGACTGGGTTAGGACAGGGCAGCCTTCAGAGCTGTTGTACATAGGGTTGCTGTGAATTCCAGGTGACTTGGCACCAAACAACAATATACATGTCAAAGTCCTTTATTGTTTGGTTATACCAAACTCAGCCCATTCCTGTCTATTCCATTCAGCTAATGCTATCCCTCTATCAAGTTTCCAGGTTTAGAATTTCTTTAGGGAAGAAACTAGCCATCTTTCCCTCATAGAGGAATGGTGAATTTGAACTGTTGACATTTTGCTTCGCAACCTGATGAAATATGCACCATGCCACCAAGTAACATGTAGTCACCCCGCTACTGTCGAGTCATTTCTGACTGGTATCATCCTCAGATGGTTTCTAAGGCTGTTAATCTTTATGGGAGCAAACTCCTGCCCGTCTTTGTCCTCTTTGAACAACCAGCAGCCTTTTGGTTAGGGGCCTATCATGTAACACATTACACCACCAGAGCTGCTTGTTTGGTTGATTAGTACATTACAACTTCATTTTTTGGAAAAGGGAGAGCTGCACAATGTTAATTTTCTCTCTCTCTCTCTCTCTCTCTCTCTTTCTTTCTTAGAACCAAAGCCTGTTTATGCTCAAGTTGGACAGCCAGATGTGGATTTGCCTGTCAGTCCATCTGATGGTATCCTGCCTAATTCAACTCATGAAGATGGGATTCTGCGGTAATGCGATTTTAAGTTCCATTTTCTTCTCTGCCCATGACGAAGGGTAATTTACAGCGAGTATTAAAAACAGTTATAATAGTGTATACTACTTAATACTATGATTGTGTTGGTAAGTTTTGTATTTTTTTAACAGTTTTTGTTTGACATCCTATAGTCAATTAGAAATTGTAAGGGGGAAAAAAGAAATGTTTTGTATATTTTTTTTTGTCTTTCTCACCACTTTATACTTTTTTCCTACCTAGTTTTTAGTTCAGGAATTAGAAAAACAAATTGTTCTCTGTTTAGACATGAGAATCTACACAAGCCATCGAAAGCTCTAGCCTTTTTTTTTAATTGCTTATTAGGGTTTCTCACCCTCAGAATTATAGACATTTGAGCCTCATCACTATTGCTAGTAGAGCTCTGGGTTGTACAGTGTGCCGTGGTTAACAGCATCTCTGACATTTCTGTAGTAGGTGCTAATACTGTTCCTTTGTGACAACAAAAAATTCTCCAGGCATTGCAAAATGACCCACTGCTTAGCTTAATTATTGTTGTTTTGTGTTGAAGTCAGAATCAACTCTTAGCTGACCCTCTAGAGGGTTTTCAGAGGCAGTAAATTGCTTGGGAAGAGACTGCTCATTTTTTCTCCCAAGGTAAATTCAAGCCAGACTTCAAGTAAGTTTTTTATATTCTACACCTTTAAGTACCGTGTGTGTTGTACTTGGTGGGTTTAATATAGAAATTTTGTGACCAGGACCCAGAAAAATAAATATCAAAAGGCTTGAAAATATTAGCAAGATGAGCATTTGAGCCAGAAATTTGAATGGATTTGATGCAGAAGTCATGAGTCTACATTTTGAGTTTGGAAGTAGTTACCTGATATTTATAAGGCCAAGTATAAAATGTCTATCATCTAAGGCATTTGACATCTTCATGAGATTTGTCCTAATACTGCCTCTTAAAAGTGTAGACAGTAACTGACAATGTGTGACCATGTCTTAACTGCACCCCTTTATTTTCTTTATATCATTGACCCTGTCTCCCAAGTGAGGAAACAAGATCATAAGGAAATATAAAGTTTAAAAACGCAGGCAGGTTTTGAGTGCTTGGCTTAGAAAAATCGAAGTCAGTCTCCTCAAGTGTACACTTACGCTTGATTTGTGGTATGTCTTTGTTGGTGGTGGTTGTGGATTTGATGCTTGTGTTTTGGGGTTTCCCCCCCCCTGTTTTTTCTTAGTATGCTAATTATTACTAAGTGAATTAAGATAAAAATGGATGGTTTTCAAGTCTTAGATCTGAAATGTAAAAGGGTTATTTCTTGGCTAAGACTGTCAGACAGTTTTGAAAACTTTGAAGAGGAATATAAAGGATAATTTGCCGTTATGATCTGATTTAGCTCAGTCATTCTTCAGAGATACCCTTCAGTATTTAAGAAGCTTTGTAGGATTTCAGTAGCACCTTCACAATGAAGAAATACATGAATTAATTCCTTATAGTCTTCTCCCTTAAATAAACAAACAAACAAAAAAAAGATGAGAGATGAGATTTTGTGGGTAATCCAGAGAGTTTGAATGAACTTTACATAAATAGAACAAAATTATTTTAAGAAAGTTAGATGTGGCTGTAGGCCTAGGGAATTGAATACAGGCGTTGAAGACATTTCAACAACTAATACAAAATGCAAATTTAACAAAAGGTCAGTATGCGTTTTCTCCTTACCCAAATGAAAGTATTAGAAGATTTTTTTTCCTTTATAATTCAAATGGGGCAGCAGAGCGCGTGAACTGTTGAAAGAATTCATTGAGTGCCAAGGTTAGAAATTATTCTGTTCCTAGTACAGACAACTTGGTTTTTATTCTTTGGTATTAGAAAAATTAGTTGTCTTATGCCTCAATTGCTGCATTTGTAAAATGAGACTTCTCAGTTTTCTAACAGATGATGATGGTGATTGGAGTAAGAAACATGGGTTGGTTTGTTTTTAAGATTTTGGGAATCTTTATATTCAAGGCTTTAAAAGTTGATAAAACATTGCTATGATTTTATACATTGCTCATGTAAGGCAGTACTTTCCATTACCTTTTCACTTTGATATTCCAAAACTCACTTCATACTTAAAAAGAAAAGTGTAATTGTGAATTGAAGCACTAGGTGTTACCAAGTTAGTTAGTGATAGTTTATAATTCAGCTCCCTTTATTTCATTGTAAATATAGTCTTCACTGTAGCAGTTTAATCTGACTTCTCTACTCTTTACCTGTTTGAAAGAAAATTTTTATTTTAACAGGCCCAGCATGAAATTGGTAAAATTCAGGAAAGGAGAAAGTGTGGGTTTGCGTCTAGCTGGTGGAAATGATGTTGGAATATTTGTGGCTGGCGTTCTAGAAGATAGCCCTGCGGCCAAAGAAGGCTTAGAAGAAGGTGATCAAATTCTCAGGGTATGTCAGCATATTATCGTGTGTGTTTGAAAGCACCTGAAATTCTATAAAATAGCATCAATCACTTCAAATCTATTTTTATCATTAGATTGTGGTGTTTTAATGGAGACTGTGCCAGAGTCTGCGAGCCAACGTCTTGTCTGTGCTGAACTTACTACTCTCCATTCCTGCATTTGCTCTTGTGTCCTATTTTCTTACGCATTACTGCTACACTGTGATGTTTTGGATTTGTTCCAGTCCCTGATATTCGTAGGCCCTACAGTGAAGTATAAGATTCTTATCATAGCCACATAGTCTTTTTTTGATCATTTAAATGTTCAGACTGGCAAGACTTGTCCCTGACCACAAGGTGTCAGGACAGCATCAGGTGGTGTTCTCCCATGCAGTAGTCCACACAGCGCTCTGAACTCCTTCACCACAGATAACAAACAGCTCAGGGGCAAGTAGATGAGGTATTTATGAGGCCAAGATGTATATTACTGTGACTTTTGGAAGCTTTATGCACAAGACAAAGACAGCCTGATTACAAGAGTTGTCACGCTCATAGGAGTCATGCCATATCCCACCTAGATTTATTTTGTTGTTGTTAACATGTGCTATGGAGTTGGAAACAACTCATAGCTGACCCTCTAACAGATATTCAGAAGCAGTAAATCACAGGGCAGGAGATTATCCCTCCATCTCCTGCAGGGCAGTTGATGGATTTGAACCATGTGCCTTTGGATTGGCAGGACAGCTGCTTATCACTAGGCTGCCACTGCTCCCTAGATTGATTTGACTCAGGCAATATTGTTGGATAATACAGTACCATCATTACCAGTCGCTTACATAGTTTAAAAGATAATTTCTAGATATATCTTGAAAAACAATGTTATGAGTGACAGGATAATATTCATAGACATTTTGAATACTTAGTGCTGCCAAGAGGGACCAATTTTTGAAGAGGGACATTGTGGTTGGAAGGGTGGAGGGACAGCATAAGACAGGAAGACCCAGGATGAGATGGATTGACTGACTCAGTGACTGGGTTGTGTCTGTCAGAGCCAGTGAATTTGTCTCAAGACATAGCAGGGTTCTGAACTGGTGTGCATAGAATCACTGAGTCACAAGCAACTTGATGGCACACAACAATCACAACAAGGAAGTCTGGTGAATATCACTATCATTAAAATATATGCACCAACAACTAGAACTAAAGAGGAGGAAATAGTTGACTTCTGCCAACTATTGAAGTCTGACATGAATCTAACATGCATGAATAATAATGGGTGACTGGAATGTAAAAGTCGAAAAAAGGAAGGAGGATCAGTCAGAAAACACGGGGATAGAATGATAAAATCTTGTATAATCAGATTCATTTGTTGAAAATGCCTTTTTATTTATTTATGTGTGTGTGTGTGTGTGTGTGTGTGTGTGTGTACGTACCATCAAATCAGATCTGACTGGTACGGGAGGAGATTGTTCCTCCTCCTTCAGCAGAGCATCTGGTGGATTTGAACCTCACAGCTCCAGGATTGCAGTGCAGCTTCTTGCCACTAGGCCACCAGAGCTCGCCGAAAATACCTTTTATAAGAAATATAAATGGTGACTATACACATGGATTTCACCCGATGGTATGCACAGGAGTTGGATCAATTACATCTGTGAAAGAATCATTGGACAAACTCGGTATCCACTGTGAAGACAGGCCAGGTGCTGATTATGAAACAGACCATCAGTTACTCATACAAGTTCAAACTAAAGTAAGTTAAATCGAATCCACAGGAATCAAAATTTGACCTTGAGTCTATCCCACCCGAATTTCAAAATCATCTCAGGAACCGATTTCAGGCCTTAAACACTAATGAAAAAAGATCAGATGAGCTGTGGAAGGATATTAAAAATACCATTCATGAAGAATGCAAAGATCATTACAAAATAGAGGAGGAAGAAAAGACCGAGCTGGATTTCAGAAAAGACTCTGAATATTGTACTAGAGCACGAAGAAGCCAAAGCAAAGAGAAGAAATCAGAATGTTAAGGAACTGAACAGAAGATTTCAAAAGGCAGCTCAAGACCAAGCAAAGTACTATAAGGAAATCTACAAAGAGCTGAAGTCAGAAAATCAAAATTACTGACCTTACTTGGCATTTATTAACATGAAGGAAATAAAGAACCTATTCAAGCTACAAGTTGCAACACTAAAGAATGCTATGGGCAGAATATCGCATTATCCAGAAAACATAAAAAGAACATGGAAGGAATAAACAGAATCATTGTACCAAAAAGATTTTGCTGATGCAGAAGAATTTCATGAAACAACATATAACCAAGAGACAATAGTGATAAAGGAATTGACATCACATTGTGCCAAGAAATCTGGAGGACAACTAACCTTGCCACGGACTGGAGAAGATCCATATTCTCACTTGGAAAAAAGGTGACCCAACAGAATATGAAAATTTATGAAAATTATCAAACAGAATCACTAATATCACACACACACAAGCAAATCTACTAAAGATTATCCAGAAAAGACTGGAACATTGACAGAGAACTACCAGAAATACAAAGTGGGTTTAGAAGAGGTTATGGCACTAAAGACATTATCACCATTGTCAGATGGATCTTGGCTGAAACCAGAGTACCAGAAAAGTATCTAACTGTGTCTTTCTTTGACGATGCAGAGGCATTTGACTTGTGGATCACAACAAATTGTGGCTAACCTTGAAAAGAATGGGAATCCCAGAACAGTTGATTGTGCTCATGTAAAACTTAAACTTGGACCAGGAAGCAGTCCTCAGCAGAGCAAGGAAACACTGCATAGTTCAAAATCGGAATGGATTGTGTCAGGGAATGTGTTTCATCTCCATACCTTTTTAATCTGTGTGTGTAAACAGGTCTTCAGGAGACTTTACTTTTTGAGGAGGAATGTGGCATTAGGATTGGAGGAAGATTTACCACAACCTGTGTTATGTAGATGACACAGCATACTTTCCAAAATGATGAAGTAAGTGTTTGCTGAAGGTGGTCAAGGTCTTCAGTATGGATTGACGCTTAACATCAGGAAGATAGAGTATCACCATTGGGCCAATTGACAGCACCATAATAGATGGAGAAGAGATTGAAGTTGTTAACAGTTTTCCACTTCCTCAGTTCCAGAATCAGCACCCTTGGCAGCAGCAATCAGGAAATCAAAAGACAAATATAATTGGGGAAGTCTGCTGTAAGGGAATTCTCCAAGGTGCTGAAGAGCAATGATGTTGGTCTAGAGATTAAGGTACACCTGATCCAGGTCCAGGCCATAGTCTTAACAACTGCTTTCTATACATAAGAGAATTAGACAATGACTGAGGATGACAGAAGAATCATTGATACCTTTGAGTTGTGGTGCTGGAAAAGAGTATTGGCCTGCCATGAAAACAAATAGGTCTTTTGGAGGAGGATGAAACCAGATTTCTCCTTATAGGCAAGGATTTTTTTTGAAGCTCCATTTCACATACTTTGGGCATGTGGCCAGGAGGGACCAATTCTTGGAGAAGGACATTCTTTTGAGGATGGAGGACAACAGGAGAGGAAGACCTTGGATGAGATGGATTGACATGGTAACTGGGACAATGGAGGTAGTTGTGTTGGAATTAGACTGGCTCAGGATAAGGCAGAGTTCAGAAATGTTGTACATAGGGTCACTGTGAGTCACAGGTGACCTAATGGCACATAGCAATAGCATATCCACACCTGTATGTAATTTTTCTTCTGTTTCATTCACAAGGTTAGATTTTTCAGCCATTAGTCCCTGCATTTGTTATCCCTATTCCCACTGTTTGCTGTTCAAAATACAGTTCAGTTACTTCTTTGCATTAGTTGTTTTTGTGTCACATTCTGATTTTTCATAAATTGCCATTCACCTTCTGTCATTCTCAGACTTCACTGTATTTCTCAGCAGTCTTTTTACTTTCTTCAGTAGTCCTTTTTTAATGTTTTTATTTGTTGAATTCCATAACACTGCCATACTTTTCTAATCTTTTTAGGCTTCTTTGGTGTTCTTTACTTATTATTCTAAAATCAGAAACATCTGTACCTGCTTGGTCTCTTCCTACAGGCTTTGTTTCTCCCTTGATCGGGAAGCGAGCAGTTCCCAGTCAGAATCTTTCCAACCTGTGCTTTTCCTTAAGTACCTGTGCCTAATTGTGCCAGACCTCTTAGCTTTTTCATTGGTTGTCTTCCTTTCCTTCAAACTTACCTTAGCAATCAAGGAATCATTTCTGAGTAATTTTTTTTCCTTCTGACATTGTATTGTGATTCTGTCTTCTCAGTCCTCCAATAATTTTGTAGATGCTGTAAGTCGCATGGCAGGAGATTGCCTATCTTTCTCCTGTGGAACAGCTTGTGGATTCAGATTGTGATATCTTTAGGTTGACAGTAATAATTCTTACCACTAAGCTCCCAAGTCTTTCTGTTTGAATGGAATAACAGCGTTTATCAAATCAAGCAACTTAAACAGATCTATTCTTTTACCAATCTCCAGGTGTTTTAAGTAGTTATTATACTCAGGTGCTACCACCCAGAGATGTTTTTAAAGAAAGGCCTAGCAATTAATCTACTACTGGAGAAATGAGCCATTAAAAATTGTGTGGAGTCAAGTTCTCATCTGACACACGTAAATAAGATCACTGCATGCACATGCACTCAGCAGAAGGTGATTTTTACATATAAGTTGGGACATCTGTTTTTTAAATTAATATTTTTATTACTATTTTTATTTCTTATAGTTTTTTTTTTAACTATCACATATCCCAAGACTTAATCACGACCTGCATTATGTAGATGACACTTTGGTTGCTGAAACTTTGTAAGCAAACACATAGCACTGCTTCAATGGGTCTCTTGAGTCAAGGGTATAAATTTGTTTGTTGTTGCTTTTGCTTACAAAGTTCAAATACATTGTGTTTCACACTATCCTTCATTCACATTGTGTTTTATACCATCATTCCCATTCGTTGTATTTTGTACAATTAATCA